TCCAGAGCTGCCCCAGCACTGCAGGGGGGGCTCCCAGAGCTGGCAGAGGGGCAGGATCCCCTCCCTGCCCTGTGCCCACAAGAGACATCTACTTCAGGCCCTGTCTCTGCTCACGGTGGGGCCCTGGGACGGAGAACAGAGGCACTGCCTGGGGTTGGTGCAGAACTGACACCAGGCTCCTTCTGGCCCAACAGCCAAGGGCTAGCTGGGCCCAGGGTGGGACAGCAAACCCTGCTGCCCTCCTCCCTCTGCAGCTGGGGGGTGAGGGTGGGAACTCAGAGGCTCAGTAACTGATCAGGCTTATGGCAGCAGGCGAGGCCAATCTCATTAGTGAGAACCAGGTCAGGTTGCCTTAATTTGAAGGGAAGGAAAAGGGGAAGGAAAGTAATTAAAAGGGGAAGAGCCAGACAGCATGAGAAGGAAGATCTCACAGCTCCCATCTGTCTGGCCTGACGTAGCTGATCCCAGAGAGCTGAGCTGCAGGTTTCCTGGGAAGAAGAGCTGCTGCTGGAGAGAAGGTTCTCCCTGAGGGTGGGCACTGCTTCCCCTCCCTCCGTGGCCCTTTCCAGGGCTTAGCAGCAGAAGGAGAGAGTCACAGAATCTTAGAAAGGGGAAAAAAGATTTCTGCTGATGTGAAACGTGCTGTAGTAGCAGAGACCAAAAGGTGATAGATGGGATGGGGGGTGCCCAGGTGCTCAGGCTGCTGTAACTCTGCCTGTTCCTCAGCTCATCTCATGGCACTTGTCTCCAGCTTGTTGTGATCTTAACAATAAGAGCTGCCCTCGTGGACAGGCTGGCTGCAGAGAGCTGAGGGAGGAGGTGGGGAGGAGCAGTGAGGGTGGCTGCTGGGTGGTAGCCTGCACCTCTCATGGACCTGGAAGGTGCTGTAAATATCTCTGGGTAAGGACTGGGGTGGAGGTGGTCTGAGCCACCCGAGCTTTGTGATGAGACTGGGAGTGAGCAGGGCAGATACTTGTAGTACTTCCAGTCTAAACAGGAGCAGCAGTTGCAGGAGTTTGGGGAGAGGCAGATGAAGGCCTTGTGAGAGAGGGCAGCTCCCAGCAGCTGCACATCTGAAACCCCAGCTGCCTCCAGGAGCAGGTGACTCCTGCCTGCCCCGAGCAGGGGGGTCGAGCTCTGCCTGTTACTTGCTGCTGTTACCTTTCTTTGAGTGACCAAAGCTGCACAAGCCTCACAGCAAAGGACCTGCCTAATCCAGCTCTCCTGCCTTCCTCTCCTTGCCAGCTGAAAGGAGAGTTGTCCCGCATCGTTGGAGACCTGATTGAAAACTACAACCCTGAGGATGAGGATGAGAGGAACCTCCGGGGCACGTGGGACTACGTGCAGAAACAGGTGGGGCATGGGGCAGCAAGAGGCACGGGGTGCTCTGGGCCAGGGCTGGAAATGGGGCTGAGGGTGGGGAAATGGCTCCTGCCAGAGGCTCCACTGCAGCACCTGGAGCTACAGAGTTGCCTGTGAGGTTTGGGGCCTGCAGGGAAGAAATGTGTCCTCATCAGTGACACAGAAGGTGGGATTGAGTGTCCCCTCAGCAGGTTTGCAGGTGACCCCAAGCAGAGCACTGTGGTCGACACGCTTGAGGGGTGGGATCTGTTCAGAGGGATGGGGAGGAGCTGGGAAGTGGGGCTGTGTGAGCCTCCTGAGGGTCAGCAAGCCAAGCATCAGGTCCTGCAGCAGGGCTGGGCCAGCCCAGGTGTCAACAGGCTGGGGGTGAAGGGCTGGAGAGCAGCCCTGGGGAGAAGGGCTTGGGGGTGCTGGGGAGTGAGAAGATGGTGGGCAGCAGGGCAGGGAGGGGATCCTGCCCCTCTGCTCTGGGGAGACCCCCCTGCAGTGCTGGGGGAGCTATGGAGTCCTCAGCACAGCAGAGCCAGGGACCTGCTGGAGCGGGGCCAGAGGAGCCCCAGCAATGCCCCGAGGGGGGAACCCCTCTGCTGGGAGGCCGGGCTGTGTGCTGGGACAGCTCTGGTGTGGGTGTCACTGCTCCTGGGAGCTCTCCTGCTGCTCCTGGGCCCTGCTGGAGCAGCAGGGTCAGTGCTCAGGCTCCCTGCACTCCTGGTAGCTGTTTGCTGCCAAACCACAGGCTGGGGAGCTGGCTCTTGTGGTTCCCAGCCATGCTCAGCGTGAGGCTGATGTGCTGTCAGTACAAGGAATGACGTTTGCCCTCTGTCCAGTCTGCAGTCTGGAACACACTGAGCTGCAGATCTTCTCCTCCTTGGAGGGGGAAGGATTTATAGAGGTTTTGTCACTCCAAGTTGCATCTCCATGCTAGTGGGCTCACAAGAAGCCTGAGTGTGCTGTGAAGGGAGCATCCTGCCTGAGCCTTTCTTCTGTGGAGGAACAGAAGGAGGGTTTGTGGAGGTGGAGAAGTTGAGTGTTAGGAGCCTAATTCCTCTCATATACTCAAGTCAGCATTTCAAAGGAGGTGGGTGTTCTGCAGGTCAGTCTTGGAGTTCAAGTCCAGACCTTTTCCAAAGTAGTTCCTTCAGGAGGCTGAATCTGCAGCACTGCTTTGGAAACCAAATGCTCATCCTGATGTGAGCATTCAGCTCTTTGTACATCCACCCTCACGTCTGTTACCTCAGACTGAAAATTTCCTCTTCCCTTGTGAGCAGAGGAGGATTTTCCCTAAACTTCAGAGGAGGATTTTCCCTGAACTTCAGAGGAGGATTTTCCCTCAACTTCCACCTCTGGTTTGATAGTTCTTCTGCTCTGTGCCACCGTGCAAGCCCTGGGATCCATGCTATGGAGAAGATGTTAGTCTTTGCTGGGCTTCCCAGTGTGTTTTCCCCTCCAGCAACTGCCGTTTTATCACGTGGCTCTAGAGGAATGTAAATGTTTCTCCGGATGGAAAGTTTTCCTCATCCCCTCTCCCTCCAGCCAGCCCCGGCTGGGCCGGGCGGGCTCACGCCGCTGGGGCCTCGCTGGGGCTCGGCGGCCTCTCAAC